CACTATTGGGGGAAAGGTGCCTTCTCGGGTCAAAGAGTGCACTATAAGGGAATGGGTCCCTTTCTCTGGTCTAAGTGTGCACTTATAGGGAATGGGTGCCATTCTCTGGTCTAAAGTAGTGCACATATAGGGAATAGGGTGACCATTCTCTGGTCTAAAGTAGTGCACTATATAGGGAATAGGGTGCCATTTGGGATGCAGTCAGAGACAGTTTGTGTGAACATCGCTCTCTCCTTCTCCGTGTATAAACACGGCAGGGAAACGGCATGCAATGGTTTCACCGGGTGACTGACAACTTTGTTTTGTCCCATTTGTTTTACTGCAGTGTGATTGGGTGAGACAATGACCTATTCTCAGAGCACAGACATAGTACACTACATGTCCAAAAGTATGTGGACACCTGCTCGTCAAACATCTCATTCCAAAATCACATCCATTAATATGGAGTTGGTCCCCCCTTTTCTGCTATAACAGCCTCCACTCTTCTGGGAAGGCTTTCCACTAAATGTTGGAACATTGCTGAGGGGACATGCTTCCATTCAGCCACAAGAGCATTAGTGAGGTTGGGCACTGATGTTGGGCGATTAGGCCTGGCTCGCAGTCGGCGTTCCAATTCATCCCAAAGGTGTTCAATGGGGTTGAGGTCAGGGCTCTGTGCATGCCAGTCAAGTTCTTCCACAACGATCTCAACAAACCATTTCTGTATGTACCTCTCTTTGTGCACGGGGGAATTGTCATCCTGAAACAGAAAAGGGCCTTCCCCAAACTGTTGCAGCAAAGTTGGAAGCACAGAATCATCTAGAATGTCATTGTATGCTGTAGCGTTAAGATTTCCGTTCACTGGAACGGAACTAAGGGGCTTAGCCCGAACCATGAAAAACAGCCCCAGACCATTATTCCTCCTCCACCAAACTTTACAGTTGGCACTATGCATTCAGGCAGGTAGCGTTCTCCTGGCATCCGCCAAACCCTGCTTCCAATGGCGGTTTTTATTTATTATTTATTAAAATTTTTTATTTCACCTTTATTTAACCAGGTAAGCCAGTTGAGAACAAGTTCTCATTTACAACTGCGACCTGGCCAAGATAAAGCAAAGCAGTGCGATAAAAACAACAACACAGAGTTACATATGGGGTAAAACAAAACAAAGTCAAAAATACAACAGAAAAATATATATACAGTGTGTGCAAATGTAGCAAGTTATGGAGGTAAGGCAATAAATAGGCCATAGTGCAAAATAATTACAATTAGTATTAACACTGGAATGATAGATGTGCAAGAGATGATGTGCAAATAGAGATATTGGGGTACAAATGAGCAAAATAAATAACAATATAGGGATGAGGTAGTTGGGCGGTCTAATTACAGATGGGCTGTGTACAGGTGCAGTGATCGGTAAGCTGCTCTGACAACTGATGCTTAAAGTTAGTGAGGGAGATAAGAGTCTCCAGCTTCAGAGATTTTTGCAATTTGTTCCAGTCATTGGCAGCAGAGAACTGGAAGGAATGGCGGCCAAAGGAGGTGTTGGCTTTGGGGATGACCAGTGAGATATACCTGCTGGAGCGCATACTACGGGTGGGTGTTGCTATGGTGACCAATGAGCTAAGATAAGGCGGGGATTTGCCTAGCAGTGATTTATAGATGGCCTGAAGCCAGTGGGTTTGGCGACGAATATGTAGTGAGGACCAGCCAACAAGAGCATACAGGTCACAGTGGTGGGTAGTATATGGGGCTTTGGAGACAAAACGGATGGCACTGTGATAGACTACATCCAATTTGCTGAGTAGAGTGTTGGAGGCTATTTTGTAAATGACATCGCCGAAGTCAAGGATCGGTAGGATAGTCAGTTTTACGAGGGCATGTTTGGCAGCATGAGTGAAGGAGGCTTTGTTTGCGAAATAGGAAACCGATTCTAGATTTAACTTTGGATTGGAGATTCTTAATGTGAGTCTGGAAGGAGAGTTTACAGTCTAACCAGACACCTAGGTATTTGTAGTTGTCCACATACTCTAGGTCAGACCCGTCGAGAGTAGTGATTCTAGTCGGGTGGGCGGGTGCAAGCAGCGTTCGGTTGAAGAGCATGCATTTAGTTTTACTAGTGTTTAAGAGCAGTTGGAGGCTACTGAAGGAGTGTTGTATGGCATTGAAGCTCGTTTGGAGGTTTGTTAACACAGTGTCCAATGAAGGGCCAGATGTATACAAAATGGTGTCATCTGCGTAGATGTGGATCTGAGAGTCACCAGCAGCAAGAGCGACATCATTGAGTAACTGTAAGTCGCTCTGGATAAGAGCGTCTGCTAAATGACTAAAATGTAAATGTAAATGTAAAATGTAAATATAGACAGAGAAAAGAGTCGGCCCAAGAATTGAACCCTGTTGCACCCCCATAGAGCGGCGAGCTTTACACCACTCCAGCCGACGCTTGACATTGCGCATGGTGATCTTAGGCTTGTGTGCGGCTGCTCTGCCATGGAAACCCATTTCATGAAACTTGTGCTGACGTTGCTTCCATAGGGCAGTTTGGAACTCGGTAGTGAGTGTTGCAACCGAGGACAGACCCTATGCGCTCCAGCACTCGGCGGTCCCGTTCTATTAGTTTGTGTGGCAGACCACTTTGCGGCTGAGCCGTTGTTGCTCCTAGACGTTTTCACTTCACAATAACAGCACTTACAGTTGACCGGGGCAGCTCTAGAAGGGCAGAATTTTTATATTATTGTGTTTCATGTGTTTGTAAAGGCACTTCAGTCATGAGCAGTGAAATCATACTAAACCAGGCTATGCTAGCTAGTGACCTCAGGACCCAGGACATAGTCAGTCAGTCAGTCAGTCATAGTTGAAAACAGCTGCAGCTCAACCACCCCACCCAGGAATGCATATAGTCTGGGTAGCCATTTGATTAGATGTTCAGGAGTCTTATGGTTTGGGGGAAGAAGCTGTTTAGAAGCCTCTTGGACCTAGACTTGGCGCTCCGGTACCGTTTGCCGTGCGGTAGCAGAGAGAACAGTCTATGACAAGGGTGGCTGGAGTCTTTGACAATATGTAGGGCCTTCCTCTGACACCGCCTGGTATAGAGGTCCTGGATGGCAGGAAGCTTGGCCCCAGTGATGTACTGTGCCGTACGCACTACCCTCTGTAGTGCCTTGCGGTCGGAGGCCGAGCAGTTGCCATACCAGGCAGTGATGCAACCAGTCAGGATGCTCTCGATGGTGCAGCTGTCAAACCTTTTGAGGATCTGAGGACCCATGCCAAATCTTTTCAGTCTCCTGAAGGGGAATAGGCTTTGTCGTGCCCTCTTCACAACTGTGGTCCTCTGTAGCTCAGTTGGTAGAGCACGGCGCTTGTAACGCTAAGGTAGTGGGTTCGATCCCCGGGACCACCCATACACAAAAATGTATGCACGCATGACTGTAAGTCGCTTTGGATAAAAGCGTCTGCTAAATGGCATATTATTATTATTATTACAACTGTCTTGGTGTGTTTGGACCATGATAGTTCAATGGTGATGTGGACACCAAGGAACCTGAAGCTCTCAACCTGTTCCACTACAGCCCCGTCGATGAGAATGGGGGCGTGCTCAGTCCTCTTTTTTTTCCTTTAGTCCACAATCATCTCCTTTGTCTTGATCACATTGAGGGAGAGGTTGTTATCCTGGCACCACATGGCCAGGTCTCTGACCTCCTCCCTATAGGCTGTCTCATCGTTGTCGATACCCTCACAGTCAGACTAACTGAGAGAATCACAGAGAATCACAGTCCTACTAACTGAGAGTATCCCAGAGAATCACAGAGACTAACTTAGAGAATCCCAGAGAATCACAGAGACTAACTTAGAGAATCCCAGAGAATCACAGAGACTAACTTAGAGAATCACAGAGACTAACTTAGAGTATCCCAGAGAATCACAGAGACTAATTTAGTGCTAACTGAGAGAATCACAGTAAAATTTGACGATTAATAACACTACCTGCTGGCTGCTGACCCCGGCTGTGTTGGCCAATCACATGACCTCCTCACGCTGTGTTGGCCAATCACATGACCTCCCCCCGCTGTATTGGCCAATCACATGACCTCCTCCCGCTGTTGTTCAATCACATGACCCAGAGTCTTCAGGTTGTTTATTTTGGTCCACACAGAGCAGAGACAGAGACAGAGACAGACAGAGGGACGGTCCATCCATCCTCTACTAGCTCCAGGGTGGTGTGTAACCTTCCCAGGCTGAACACCCACACCCTGACAGTGGGCACAGCACCGGGCACAGCCCCCCCTACCCTCCAGAGACTGGTGGAGGAGCTGAGACCCCTGGTCAAGGTAGAGCTGTGCCCCCCTGGTACCTTACCACCCCCACACTACACTACCCCTGGTACCTTACCCCTCAACACTCTACCTATACTCACCCACTGGTACCTACCACCCTCACCCTACTCTCAACCACCCCTGTACCTTACACCCCCCACTACTCTACCCCTGGTACCTTACCACCCTCACACTACACTACCCCTGGTACCTTACCACCCTCACACTACACCCTACTTAACCCTAACACCTACTTACCCTGTACCTTACCACTCACACTACTCTAACCCCTGGTACCTTACCACCCCACACCTCCACACTCTACCCCTGGTACCTTACCACCCTCACACACTACCTACCTACCACCCTCACACTTCCTTACACCCTCACACTACTCTACCCCTGGTACCTTACCACCCTCACCACTACTCTACCCCTGGTACCTTACCACTCTACTACCCCTGGTACCTTACCACCCTCACACTACACTACCCCTGGTACCTTACCACCCTCACACTACTCTACCCCTGGTACCTTACCACCCTCACACTACTACCTCTAACCCACTAGGTACCCTGTGTCTTAGCGGCACCCTGCCGATACCAACTCCGGCCACATTGCCCAGCCTCACTACTAGGCTACACTGGTAAGCCGAACCCTCACGACTTAGCTCTACCCCTGGTACCTACCACCCTCCCTACTCTACCCATGTACCTTCCACCGCTCACACTATCTACCCGGTACTTACCACCCACACACTACTCTAACCCTGGTACTTACCAACCCTCCCTACACTACTACTGTACTTACACCCTGAAATTAAACCCCTGGTACCTTACCACCCTCACACACACTACTCTACCCCTGGTACCTTACCACCCTCACACTACTCTACCCCTGGTACCTTACCACCCTCACACTACACTACTCTACCCCTGGTACCTTACCACCCTCACACTACACTACCCCCTGGTTCCTTACCACCCTCACACTACTCTACCCCTGGTACCTTACCACCCTCACACTACTACCCTGGTACCTTACCACCTACATACTCTACCCTGGTACCTTACCACCCTCACACTACTCTACCCCTGGTACCTTACCACCCTCACACTACACCTGTCTTACACCTCACCTACTCTACCCCTGGTACCTTACCACCCTCACACTACACTAACCCCTGGTACCTACCACCCTCACACTCACTTACCCCTGGTACCTTACCACCCTCACACTACACTACCCCTGGTTACCTTACCACCCTCACACACACTACTCTACCCCTGGTACCTTACCACCCTCACACTACTCTACCCCTGGTACCTTACCACCCTCACACTACTCTACCCCTGGTACCTTACCACCCCTCCACACTACTCTACCCTGGTACCTTACCACCCTCACACTACTCTACCCCTGGTACCTTACCACCCTCACACATACTCTACCCCTGGTACCTTACCACCCTCACACTACTCTACCCCTGGTTCCTAACCACCCTCACACTACTCCTACCCCTGGTACCTTACCACACCTCACACTACTCTAACCCCTGGTACCTTACCACCCTCACACTACTCTACCCCTGGTACCATTACCACCCTCACACTACTCTACCCCTGGTCCTTACCACCCTCACACACTACCTTACTCTACCCCGTACCTATACATTCACCCTCACACTAACTCTACCCCTGGTACCTTAACCACCTCTCACACTACCTTACCCCCTAACTACTTACCTGGTACCTTACCACCCTCACACTACTCTACCCCTGGTACCTTACCACCTCACACTACTCTACCCCTGGTACCTTACCACCCTCACACTACTCTACCCCTGGTACCTTACCACCCTCACACTACTCTACCCCTGGTACCTTACCACCCTCACACTACTCTACCCCTGGTACCTTACCACCCTCACACTACCTCTACCCCTGGTACCTTACCACCCTCACACTACTCTACCCCTGGTACCTTACCACCCTCACACTACACTACTCTACCCCTGGTACCTTACCACCCTCACACTACTCTACCCCTGGTACCTTACCACCCTCACACTACTCTACCCTGGTACCTTACCACACCTGTACACTACCCCCCTCTGGTACCTTACCACCCTCACACTACCTACCCTGGTACCTTACCACCCTCACACTACTCTACCCCTGGTACCTTACCACCCTCACACTAATACTCTACCCCTGGTACCTTACCACCCTCACACTACCTACTACCCCTGGTACCTTACACCCTCACACTACTCTACCCTGGTACCTTACCACCCTCACACTACTCTACCCCTGGTACCTTACCACCCTCACACTACTCTACCCCTGGTACCTTACCACCCTCACACTACTCTACCCCTGGTACCTTACCACCCTCACACTACTCTACCCCTGGTACCTTACCACCCTCACACTACTCTACCCCTGGTACCTTACCACCACCCTCACACTACTCTACCCCTGGTACCTTACCACCCTCACACTACTCTACCCCTGGTACCTACCACCCTCACACTACTCTACCCCTGGTACCTTACCACCCTCACACTACTCTACCCCTGGTACCTTACCACCCTCACACCACACTACTCTACCCCTGGTACCTTACCACCCTCACACTACTACTACCCTACCCTGTACCTTACCACCCTCACACTACTCTACCCCTGGTACCTTACCACCCTCACACTACTCTACCCCTGGTACCTTACCACCCTCACACTACTCTACCCCTGGTACCTTACCACCCTCACACCACACTACTCTACCCCTGGTACCTTACCACCCTCACACTACTCTACCCCTGGTACCTTACCACCCTCACACTACTCTACCCCTGGTACCTTACCACCCTCACACTACTCTACCCCTGGTACCTTACCACCCTCACACTACTCTACCCCTGGTACCTTACCACCCTCACACTACTACTTACCCCTGGTACCTTACCACCCTCACACACTACTACTCTACCACCTGGTACCTTACCACCCTCAACCACATACTCTACCCTGGTACCTTACCACCCTCACACTACTACCCTGGTACCTTACCACCCTACACTACTCTACCCCTGGTACCTTACCACCCTCACACACTACTCTACCCCTGGTACCTTACCACCCTCCACACTACTACTCTACCCCTGGTACCTTACCACCCTCACACACTACTCTACCCCTGGTACCTTACCACCCTCACACTACTCTACCCCTGGTACCTTACCACCCTACACACTACTCTACCCTGGTACCTTACCACCCTCACACTACACTACTCTACCCCTGGTACCTTACCACCCTCACACTACTCTACCCCTGGTACCTTACCACCCTCACACTACACTACTCTACCCCTGGTACCTTACCACCCTCACACTACACTACTCTACCCCTGGTACCTTACCACCCTCACACTACTCTACCCTGGTACCTTACCACCCTCACACTACTACTACCCCTGGTACCTACCACCCTCACACTATCTACTCACCTGGTACCTTACCACCCTACCACTCTCTACCCCTGGACCTTACCACACCTCACACTACTCTACCCTGGTACCTTACCACCCTCACACACTACTCTACCCCCTGGTACCTTACCACCCTCACACTACATCTACCCTGGTACCTTACCACCTACACTACTCACCCCTGGTACCTTACCACCACCTCACTACTACTCTACCCCTGGTACCTTACCACGACCTGCACACTCACTTACTCTACCCCTGGTACATTACCACCCTCACATCTCTACACCTGGTACCCTTACCACCCTCAACCTCTCTACCACGTGGTACCTTAGACACCCACATACTAGACTACCCTGGTACTACCAGAGACCTGGAAGATTGAGATAAAGCTGGAGGAGACACACCTTCAGAACTGAATGCATCAGGACAAGAGAGGCGTCACTCCTCATGCCTCACCAGGCTGAGTCCCTGAGAACACCGCCCTAGACTGCTGTGGCGGATCAGAGACAGAGAGAGGAACAGAGGAGCTGGAGCTGAGACACACCGCCCTAGACTGCTGTGGCGGATCAGAGACAGAGAGAGAGCAGTTTCACGACTCCTTGGACACCAGAGACCAGGGGGGAGACCAGGGGGGAGACCAGGGGAGACACCAGGGGTGTGTGAATGAAAACAAGGTAGAGGTGGGGAGTGACGAGGGTAAGGGTCCCTCTCTCATTCCTCAGACCTCAGGGAGCCCCCTGGACAATGGCTCTAAGGAGAACTGGGGGTCTCTCACTCCAAACACGCTCAGAGATCACCACAGAGCCGAGAGGGAGGAGGGGGGAGAGGAGGAGTGGAGGAGGGGGGAGGCTGAGGCTGTAACAGATTGGAGGAGTGACTGTGATAGCTGTGACCGAGCACAGAGCCGGCCTGAGGAGGAGAAAGGAGCCCCACTATCCTGTGGAACAGAGCTGGAGGAAACTGATAGAGAGGGGAGCACAATCAGTGTTACACAGGGGTCCACACAGGGGACAGAACAACAGAACCAGGAAGGAGAGGAGGAGGAACAACAGAACCAGGAAGGAGAGGAGGAGGAACAACAGAACGAGGAAGGAGAAGAGGAGGAACAACAGAACCAGGAAGGAGAAGAGGAGGAACAACAGAACCAGGAAGGAGAGGAGGAGGAACAACAGAACCAGGAAGGAGAGGAGGAGGAACAACAGAACCAGGAAGGAGAAGAGGAGGAACAACAGAACCAGGAAGGAGAGGAGGAGGAACAACAGAACCAGGAAGGAGAGGAGGAGGAACAACAGAACCAGGAAGGAGAAGAGGAGGATCAACAGAACCAGGAAGGAGAGGAGGAGGAACAACAGAACCAGGAAGGAGAAGAGGAGGAACAACAGAACCAGGAAGGAGAAGAGGAGGAACAACAGAACCAGGAAGGAGAAGAGGAGGAACAACAGAACCAGGAAGGAGAGGAGAAGAGCACAGTTGGAAGGGAGGAGGAGGAGGAGGAACACGAAGGACACAGAGATCCATCTGTCCTCAGTGGAGACACAGCAACAACAGAAGACATGGGACACACTCAGTCCCTGGAAGACTTGGCTAACTCAGATCCCTCAGACACGGACCTGAAGGAGTGTCTCCAGGAAGGTAAGAGCCATGTGGAGAGGGACGCAGACAGCTGTCAGGAGGGCTGTCACACCCTTCACCCAGAGGACCAACCCACAGACAGTGAATGGTTAACCACAACAGACTCTATCCCCACCACTAAGGGTCTGTCAGACTCTGACCCCTCTCCCCTGTCAGACCCTTCTATCCTGGACAATGGACAGGATATACAGCAGGGTCCAGCTGACTCTGGGAGATCATGTCCTACCATAGAGATAGAGGGCCTCAGTGAGGGTGAACCTCCATTGGAACAAAGGAAGAAAACAGCTTCTGCTAGGGCTGGGGAGGGCTCTGGTGGCTCCACAGAAGAAGAGTTTCACCCCTCTGAGCCGGGCAGCCATGGGACTCAGGGAAACTGGACTCCATTCTGGGGACTGTGATGATAAAGAAATGGGAGATGCCTCTGACCCTGTAGACACATCTATGGACCATGCAGCTGAGATCTCAGCTATCAGTGACTCTATGGACAGTACAGTAACAGCAGTATCAAACAGTGGAGCGCTGCTGGTCTCAGGTAGTGGACCTGCTGATGGAGACCCAGGGACAGCTCAGGACCACAGCCTGATCCAGACTCAGGCCCTCTCCAGCACCTCAGACGACCAGGCTCAGTCTGAGGAAGAGGAGGAAGAGGAGGAAGACTCCTTCCGGTCGATCAGCAGCTCCTCAACAGAGCTCTTCCACCTGACTGAGGAGGAACCAGATGGAGGGGGAGGGGAGAGAGGAGAGAAAGAAGGGGGAGGAGAGGGAGGAGAGGGAGGAGGGGGAGGAGGGGGAGGAGGTGAGAGACGAGGGGGAGGAGAGAGAGGAGAGAGAGGAAGGGGAGGAGGGGGAGATGAGAGAGGAGAGAAAGGAGAGGGAGGACAGAGAGGAGGGGGAGGGGAGAGAGGAAGGGGAGGGGAGAGAGGAGCGAGAAGAGCGGGAGGAGGGGAGCTGAACGTGGGCAGGCTGGAGGATCTAGAGGGGATGGAGGAGGACAGGAGGGAACACTCACCACTCCCAGACTCAGGGCTTCCCAGACTCAGGGTCCCTCTGATAGGCTGTAGTCATCCCACTGAGACCCGCCTGACCCACACTGGTGCCTGCGTCTCAAAGCCCAAGGGTCACCTGTCATCCATCCAGGACACAATGGAGCCTTTCAGCTCTTTAGAGAACACACCAGAGCCTACACCGGCCTGAACCCCGGTTTCGAGCCTACCACCGCCTGAACCCCTGTAGAGCCTACACCAGGCTACACCACCTGAACCCCTGTTTAGAGCCTACACCGCCGGAACCCCTGTTAGAGCCTACACCGCCATGAACCCCTGTTAGAGCCTACACCGCCTGAACCCCTGTTAGAGCACTACACCGCCCTGAACCCCCTGTTAGAGCCTACACCGCCTGAACCCCTGTTAGAGCCTACACCGCCTGAACCCCTGTTAGAGCCTACACCGCCTGAACCCCTGTTAGAGCCTACACCGCCTGAACCCCTGTTAGAGCCTACACCGCCTGAACCCCTGTTAGAGCCTACACCACCTGAACCCCTGTTAGAGCCTACACCGCCTGAACCCCTGTTAGAGCCTACACCGCCTGAACCCCTGTTAGAGCCTACACCACCTGAACCCCTGTTAGAGCCTACACCACCTGAACCCCTGTTAGAGCCTACACCACCTGGACCCCTGTTAGAGCCTACACCGCCTGAACCCCTGTTAGATCCTACACTAGAGTCCTACACACCAGAACCCCTGTTAGAGCCCACAATTGAGCATCACTCAGAGCCCTCATCAGAGCCTCAGTCAGAGCAGGTGTCCGAGGGGGATCTGCCACTAGAGGGCAGTGACAGGCAGGGTGAGAGACAGGGTGAGAGACAGGGTGCCAGACAGGGTGACAGACAGGATGACAGACAGGATGACAGACAGGGTGAGCCCATAGAGGCAGGTGACTCTGGCCTCAGAGCTGAGTCTGAGGAGGGTGTATTGGGGTCAGAGGTAACAGAGGGGATAGTGTCTGTACCTGCAGACGACCAGACAGACCGCCAGATAGACCGCCAGTCAGACCGCCAGACAGACCGCCAGTCAGACCGCCTGACAGACCGTCAGACAGACCGTCAGATAGACCGCCAGACAGACCGTCAGATAGACCGCCAGACAGACCGCCAGACAGACCGTCAGATAGACCGCCAGACAGACTGCCAGACAGACCGCCAGACAGACCGCCAGACAGACCGCCAGACAGACCGGCAGTCAGACCGTCAGATAGACCGCCAGATAGACCGCCAGACAGACCGTCAGATAGACCGCCAGATAGACCGCCAGTCAGATCTGCAGGACAGTGAGCCCCCTCCAGAAGCCAGGGATTGGACTACCCCCATGGATGGAGACCCCCAGCCCCCAGAAACAGGCTCCAACTCTGGGGGAGCGCCTGGTGGGGCGGGTGGAGAGGAGGGTGGAGAGGAGGGTGGAGAGGGTGTAGGGATGGAGCTAACGGCGGTCCTACGGAGACCTAGTGAGGCCCCCTCGGTTCTAGGGGAACACAGTGGAGACCCCTCTGACAGGACAGTGGATCAGGGATCCTGTGACACCAGGGCAGAGGAGGGGTCAGGACACTCGGACAGTCAACATGCTACAGACCAAGCCCTCCACCTCGACCCCTCTGTGACCCTAACCCTGACCCTAGACCCCTCTGTGACGTGGTCAGACTGTGGAGATGGAGATGGTGTCACTGCTGTAGGGGTGTCCACAGATACATGGGATGTCCCACCTAACAGTCCAGTGTCACCTGAGAACCGACCTGAGAACCTACCTGGGAACCTACCTGAGAACCGACCTGAGAACCGACCTGAGAACCTACCTGAGGACCTACCTGAGAACCGACCTGAGAACCGACCTGAGAACCTACCTGGGAACCTACCTGGGAACCTACCTGGGAACCTACCTGAGAACCTACCTGGGAACCTACCTGGGAACCTACCTGAGAACCTACCTGGGAACCTACCTGAGAACCGACCTGAGAACCGACCTGGGAACCTACCTGGGAACCTACCTGAGAACCGACCTGAGAACCGACCTGAGAACCTACCTGAGGACCTACCTGAGAACCGACCTGAGAACCGACCTGAGAACCGACCTGAGAACCTACCTGGGAACCTACCTGGGAACCTACCTGGGAACCTACCTGGGAACCTACCTGAGAACCGACCTGGGAACCTACCTGAGAACCTACCTGAGAACCTACCTGGGAACCTACCTGGGAACCTAGAGTCCAGTGGTCCTGCTATGGAAGAGGGGATCCCAAACTCTGATGCTGTCTGTTCTGCAAGTCACCATACTGCTTCTGTTGAAGGTAAGGCTTCTTGTATCAAGTCACCATACTGATCCTGTTGAAGGTAAGGCTTCTTGTATCAAGTCACCATACTGCTCCTGTTGAAGGTAAGGCTTCTTGTATCAAGTCACCATACTGCTCCTGTTGAAGGTAAGGCTTCTTGTATCAAGTCACCCTACTGCTCCTGTTGAAGGTAAGGCTTCTTGTATCAAGTCACCATACTGTCCTGTTGAAGGTAAGGCTTCTTGTATCAAGTCACCATAATGCTCCATGTTGAAGGTAAGGCTTCTTGTATAAGTCACCATACTGCTCTGTTGAAGGTAGGCTTCTTGTATCAAGTCACCATACTGCTCTGTTGAAGGTAAGGCTTCTGTATCAAGTCACCCATACTGCTGCCTGTTGAAGGTAAGGCTTCTTGTATCAAGTCACCATACTGCTCCTGTTGAAGGTAAGGCTTCTTGTATCAAGTCACCATACTGCTCCTGTTGAAGGTAAGGCTTCTTGTATCAAGTCACCATACTGCTCCTGTTGAAGGTAAGGCTTCTTGTATCAAGTCACCATACTGCTTCCTGTTGAAGTAAGGCTTCTTGTATCAAGTCACCATACTGCTCCTGTTGAAGGTAAAGGCTCTTGTATCAAGTCACCATACTGCTACTGCCTTCCTTTGAAGGTAAGGCTTCTTGTATCAAGTCACCATTCTGCTCCTGTTGAAGGTAAGGCTTCTTGTATCAAGTCACCATTCTGCTCCTGTTGAAGGTAAGGCTTCTTGTATCAAGTCCCATTCTGCTCCTGTTAGGTAAGGCTTCTTGTATCAAGTCACCATACTGCTCCTGTTGAAGGTAAGGCTTCTTGTATCAAGTCACCAATCTGTCTCCTGTTGAACGGTAGGCTTCTTGTATCAAGTCACCATACTGCTCCTGTTGAAGGTAAGGCTTCTTGTATCAAGTCACCATAACTGCTCCTGTTGAAGGTAAGGCTTCTTGTATCAAGTCACCATACTGCTCCTGTTGAAGGTAAGGCTTCTTGTATCAAGTCACCATACTGCTCCTGTTGAAGGTAAGGCTTCTTGTATCAAGTCACCATACTGCTCCTGTTGAAGATAAGGCTTCTTGTATCAAGTCACCATACTGCTCCTGTTGAAGGTAAGGCTTCTTGTATCAAACAACGTTTCCTTTTTTTAAATGACAGTATGTTTTCTATCGTTGAAGGGTCTGGAATGTACTAGTGAGGTCACATCCCCATTTGATAAGGATGAGTTTCAGATATGATTACATGGCGTGCAGCACAGTGTCTATCATGACATGTAATGGAAGATAATGAACCATGTTCACCTTGGTGGAATATGTGTAATACATTCAGAACATCGAAATAGAATAGAATTTCCTATGATCCAGACACACACACCTACTTTATGCCAGTGGGCACCATCGCATGACTAGCACATGTGACTTGTATTGTACTGATATTGCGTTTGAGGCGAGGCTATGTTCTCTCAAAATAGACCCTCCAGTTTCCTGACATCTCTGACTGGTCACAACAAAACACAGATTTTTTACCCATTTACAATCTTTGTCATTTCAGACAATGACTGTTTTGAACTGAAGTTTTCCCTGAGCCCCTCCCTGCCACTGGTCCGTTTTCAATTATCACACATATTGATGTTAGTCCTGTCCAATCAGGAGAGGTCAAGGAGCTGTCGCTCTGCGTCATCCAATAAACAGGGTGTGTTTATATAGGTAGCGTCTCAAATGGCGCCCTATTCCCTATGTAGTGCACTACTTTAGACCAGAGAATGGCACCCTATTCCCTATGTAGTGCACACATTTCTACCAATGTCCATAGGGCTCTTGTCAAAAGTAGTGCGCTATAGAGGGAATAGGGTGCCATTCTCTTGTCTAAAGTAGTGCACTATAGAGGGAATAGGGTGCCGTTTGGGATGCAGTCGTACTCAGGCAGGGTATATTTACACTCCATGACACACCGTATCATAGCAACTAGTGATCTCATCAGATGGACAGAGTTCTGAAAAGAGTTCTGAAAGGCTGGAAGCGTCACGATCGTTGACACATGATGAAGCGGACCA